CATCTGCCCCATCTGCCCCACTCCTGCCCCCTCCCCAGGCCTTCACTGCAGTATTGTCTGTGTCCATGGGTTATGCATATATGCATATCAGTTCTCTGGTTAATCTCTTCCTACCCCCCACCCCCTTCCCTCTGAGAATTGTCAGTCTGTTGCATGCTTCCATGTCTCTAGATCTGTTTTGTTTGTCAGATGCCTGAAACACCAATAAGAAAGAATATATGCACCCCTATGTTCATAGCAGTGTTATTCATAATAGCTAAGATCTGGAAACAGCCCAAGTGCCCATCAGTAGATGAGTGGATTAAAAAGCTGTGGCACATTTACACCATGGAATACTACAGAGCTGTAAAAAAGAAGGATCTCGTACTCTTTGAGACAACATGGAGGGACCTGGAGAGTATTATGCTAAGTGAAAAAAGCCAGTCAGGGAAAGGCAGATATCACATGATCTCCCTTATATGTGGAATCTAATGAACAAAAGCCTTTCTTTATAGGACTACCTGAGCATTGATTAGTTTTCCAATTTTTGTTTTTAAGATTTTTTACAATGAGCTTTAAATAGCCTGTTTTAGATTTTGAAGTTCTATTTTAAAAGCTAACTTTATACATTTTCTTAATGATACAAATAGAAGATTTATTTAAGTCTTTAGCCATAAGTTAAGAAAAAGAATTTACTTGCTGGATATTTATTTCAAATAAAATCATGCTTAGCATATTTTTCTACCCATGGATTGGAAACTGGTCTGTTTTTAGTCTCAGAAAAACAACTGTGTGTGAGTTCAAGAGGATGAGATGATTGGTGCCAATCAACTGTTGCTTATATCCTATTTTCTGTACTTCCTACAAAAAACAAAACTGAGAAAAACTTGTCTTTCAGGTATGTTAATGCCAAAGGATATTTTGAAGATATTGCAAATGCGATGGAAGAGGCAAACGAAGAGATTTTTATCACAGATTGGTGGTCAGTATTTGTCCATGGGGATAGTGTTTGGAGGTCTCTGTGTTTAGGAATCTACAGTAGTATTTGTTGTGCTGTTCCAGAGACACACATTATGAAAACTACCCACAGATGGTTTAGCCAAAGTCTCAACCCATTAACTCTAGTAGCCCCCAGTCAAAGGTCTTTTCAAAACACTTCGCATCCAAATATATTCTTAAAATATTTAACTTGAACAATTTTGTATTTGTCTTTCTATTTGGAAGCAGACACTCAGTATTCATTTTAGTAAAAATTATGCTGCAATGCAAATATAGTTGTAGACGTCGTGAAAAATAGTCTTCCTTCAATAGTTTTTTCCCATTTGGTATGTCAGTCACCAGGTCCAGTGAATAGAATTCTTCTGAATTGTCCCGTGAAATGGGAATAGTTCCATTTGCCCATTACTGTTAAAATGTCCTTGTTAATGACTAATCTGGTCAACATTTTTAGAGATACATCAGGTTTCAACTTTCAGACCCCCTTTAAAACATCCGTGAGAGTTAGGATGCTTATTAAAGCCACTAAAAGTCTTGTATCTAAAACTCATTTAGTTACTGGGAAATTTCACTTTTGGAGTTGTTGTAGGTTTTGCAGTCTGACTTTAATTCCAGTTATCCATCTGCCTGTGAACACTGGGAACCACTGAAAATTTTTATTTTAATTTTATTTATTTTTTAAATATATCTTTTTTTTTTTTTAATATATCTTTATTGATTTCAGAGAGAGGAAAGGAGGGGGAGAGAGAGAGGCAGAAACATCAATGATGAGAGAGTCATTGATCGAGCCCACAACCGAGCATGTGCCCTGATCGGGAATCGAACCCTGATCGCCTGGATCCCAGGTCAATGCTCAACCGCTGAGCCATGCGCGGCCGGGCGCTGAAAATTTTTAAGCATGGAAGGTTTATTTGTGTTTTTCTTAAATTTATTGGGGTAACGTTGGTTAAGGGTATTACAAGTTTCAGGTATACAATTTTATAATACATCACCTGTGTATTCCATTGTGCTTACCACCCAAAGTCTACTCTCCTTCCCTCGCCTATATTTGATCTCCTTTACCCTCTTCATCCCCTCCCTCCCTTTGATAACCACCATATTGTTGCCTGTGTCTATGAGGGTTTTGTATTTGTTCATTTGGTTAAGCATGGGAGGTTTCTTTATCATTCATTCAGATCCTTTATGAAGAGCAAAGGTCAGGTCGTCCCATCCGTGTGCTATTGCAACATGAAAAGGCACGTACATTACTAAGGAGACCCCCCAGACTTGAGAGCCTTTCAACAGTACAGAGGCAAAGATGTGTTCATTAAGTGAAAGCAACCGAACAGTTTGCATTTTAAGATGCAAGCTAGATGAAATAACCGATTGTAGACATTTCTACCTTAAACATCTTGCTGACCAGTCACGAGTATACACATGTTTCCATGTCCAAACATTGCTGACCGGTCATGAGATAACTCGTGTCTGCACTTACATTAAGTAAATTTGAGAAACCTTGCTGACTGGTCATGACAGAAAAGTAGCTGGCCACACGGGCAAGTTCTGGCATGAAATAGCTGGTCATCAAGGTGTTTAAGAAAAGGTCCCATCTTGTCCCTGTTAGCATGGGAGTTTTAATTAAATTTGTTTTCTAAAAGGGACCAGTCTGGTAATAGTAGAAAAGATGAATTGAAACTAGACCAGCTTCTTACATGGTACACAAGATAAACTCAAAAAGGATCAAAGACTTAAATGTAAGACTCGAAACCATAAAAATCCTAGGCAGTAAAATCTTGGACATTTCTCGTAGCAATATTTTTTCTGATATGTCTCCTTGGGCATGGGAAACAAAAGAAAAAATAAACAAATGGGACTACATCAAACTAAAAAGTGTTTGCACAGCAAAGGAAACCATCAACAAATGAAAAGACAACCCACCGAACGGGAGAACATATTTGCCAAAGATATATCTGGTAAGGGGTTAATATGCAAAATTTATAAAGAACTTAACATCATAGAACAAACAATCCAACTTAAAAATGGGCAAAAGACCTGAATAGACACTTCTCAAAAGACGACATACAGATCACCAATATCTGTGTGTTTTTAATGTCAGATTTGTTTTCAAAGCCTTTGCAGTGCTGTTCAGTTCTATCCCCCACGTACTCCACCTAGTGGCCAATTTGGGCAGTGGTCTATTTCTTTTCTTTGGACGGGGGTGGGTGATTTCTTTATTGTTGAAAGTATTACAGATGTCCCCCTTCCCCCCCCCATTGATCCCCTCCACCCGGCATCCACCCCTCCAGGTCTTCTCCACACTATTGTCTCTGTCCATAGGTCATGTATATATGCGTCTAAGTTCTTTGATTAATCTCTCCCCACATCCCACTCCCCACCCTCACCCTCACCTTCCCTCTGAAATTTGTCCAACTGCTTCATGGTTCTATATTTCTGTATCTATCTTGTTCATCAGTGGTCTATTTCTTATTTCAGTATATACAGGGCGGGGCAAAAGTAAGTTTATAGTTGTGAGTATGTGAAACATAAGAGTTTATCCTTGTGTTATTATTTATGAATCATTGTGTTATTTTCCATATGAACAACTGTAAATCTGCTTTTGCCCTACTCTGTATTTAGGATCAAATCCATGCATGGGCCGCTTGAGAGTGAGATGGAAGTCATAAACAAATTCATAAGGCTGCTTTCATGAGTTCTTCTCTTTCCATGACCCCCCGTCTCTCCTACACACCACTTTTGGGTTCCCTGTGGCTTCTCTTTTTAGTCCACTAGGTAAAAAGGGGGGGCGGTATTTACCCTGCTCTGCCACACTTTCCACCATGACACTTGTATCCGGTAAACCAATGGATATTTAATTATCCTCTTGGAACCACAGCTTTTATCACTTTGAGAAAATTTCCTTGTATGTATAATTTATGGAGAGTTTTATCATGAATGAGTATTAAAATTTGTCAAAACTTTTATCTGTATTTATTAAAAAATCATTTATAATGTTAATATAATGAATTGTATTGATTGATTTTCAGCTTTTAAACAAATCTTGCTTTCTTAAGGTAACCCCACTTTGTCATAATCTATTATCCTCTTTATAAGTTGTGGAGTTTGGGCAAAGATTTTTACCTCTATGATCATAAGAGATACTGTTCTTAGTTTTTTTCTTTTCTTGAATTCCTTGTTTGATTTTGGTACTGGGATAATGCTAGCCTCATCATATTACTTAGTAAGTGTTCATTTCCTTTATTTCCTGAAAGAGTTTGGGTAAGATTGATATTATTTCTTTCTTACATATTTTATAGAATTTTTAATAAAGTTGTTGGGGCCTGTATTTTTCTTTGTGGGAAAGTTTTAAATTATGAATTCAATTTTTTAATAGATATAAGGTTAGTGTCTTAATTTCTTTTTGCTTCCACTTTGATAACTTTTTTCTTTGATGGAAATTGTCTGTTTTATCTAAATTATCATCTTTATTCATCTAATCCTTACACAGTCTCCCCTTCTTCCTCCAGGCCTAGCATTTCAGCAAATGAAGTTTTCTTGTTTGTTTTTCTTCATTACAGGGGAGTTATGTGACATGTAGATTTAACTCAGACACTGACTTTAGAACTCAACCCCAGAGGAAAAAGTGACTCAACATTTAGCTACCTGTGACATTACTAAAAAAGAAGAGTCAAGGGGTTTATTCTCACACTTGAAAAATTTTATCAGCAAACCGGCCTTCTCTTTCCTGCTCAGAAAGACCCAGATTTCATGGGCCCTGCCTCTTGGTAGAGGAAGTCAGCATTTATGTTTATCAGAACACTTTTGGCTTTGGGTTAACAGAAGCTCATCTAAAGGCGGCTTAAACAATGAGGATTTATTTGTCTCATTTAAGAAGGAACCCACAGTTAGGCAATCCTAAGGTTGGAGGAGTGGTCTTGTGATTTCACAGTCCTGGTCTTCCTCCTAGAATTTCAGTATGACCCCACCTCTGTGAGCATCAGAGCCCAGTACAACATCCTTCCTAAAGCCTCTCTTCCTGTCTTGCGTGAATGTGTGTCTATCTGTCATCAAAGGAAAACTTTCCCATTAACCCCACACGTGGCTCCTCATATATCTCATTGCCCAGGATTGTGTGACATTGTGCACTAGCTGCACAGGAGTCGGGGTAAACGAGGGTGCAGAATATTTACGCTCTATAGTGGGAGCAAGGAAGAAGTAGGTGGGGAATGGCTGCTGGCTGGGTCACCAACATATCTGCATGTGTGTGTGTCTGTGTGCATGTGTGAGTAAGATACACAGAGAAATCTAGATGGCCTTTTTGTGTGGGTAAAAGCTTTTGTTCACATATGAACTTGTATGTGGACTTATATGGATGACCCTCCACAGTGGAAGAGGAGGATGGCATTTGGGCGAAAATTGCCTTTGCTTCCTATGACACAGTCAGAGCTTTATATTTTGTTTTAGTTACTTGAAATTTTGTGATTTCAGGCTGAGTCCAGAAATCTTCCTGAAACGCCCTGTGGTTGAAGGAAATCGCTGGAGGTTGGACTGCATTCTTAAACGAAAAGCAGTATGTACTTTCCAAATAAATGCTGATGTGAATTCTTAAATGTTTATTGCCCCTGAAATGCCTTTTCTTTTTTAAAGTCCGTCATGTATACTTATAACTTTTTGCTTTAGAGTTTGACAAAAAAATAGAATATTTACTGTTTTCAAGTTCATTTGGTTCTGATGTTTTTTTCCTGTTACTCTTGAATGCATAATATTTTAGCCTAATTCGGACTATGAATTTTATTAGCAATTACACATTTTGTTTTTTAATCACTTATGAATAATTTTATAGGCAACAGTTTGTGAAAAAAGATTTCATTATTGAATAATAAATGACAAAATGAAACATAGAATTTTATTTTATTTATTGTTCTGTTATTTGAGCAAAAGACAAAGTCATCTGAGATTTCAGTCAGATGGGGCCAAGCTCAAAGCTGAATATCAAAGAGGAGGGACATTGAGAATTGGTGCTGTTTTATTTCAGTGTGGGGACAGTTCCTGGTAATAATGTGAAGCTGTTTCCTGTGCAGTTGACCCTGTAGATTCTGGGTGAGCATTGAGTGTGCTCTTTTTGTTATAAAAAATAAATAACTGAATCAGTATAGGTTCATCAAAGACTACTTTATTTCTCATGAACTTTTTTATGTAGCTGGCCTTCAACCAAGCTAAATTAAGTTGAATTAGAATAGATCTGGATTTATTATTAATCATGTTCAAATTGGAGAGTGCTAGCCTTTCTACGATTATTTGAAACTGTCTTAGTCTTTTTTATTCTATCATTAAAGATTCTAGCAGAATTTGTGGATCCTAAGTTATCATGGGTAGCATTTTTCTATTTCTCACAGCCTTCACTCATTTCCTCCTCCCGCATCCTCTCCATTCTCTTACCTCTTTCCCACTCACCTTTTCCTCTTCTTTCAGTGTTTTTCCCCCATGTTTTTACTTTAGGATTATGGCAGGTGTCCATAGTCTAATCAGAGCTCACTGCTAATACTGAAGGCTGAAGTTGGTAATCTTTATTTCAAACACATGTCTTGCCACACAGCATCATTTTCATGGCTAATTTGTTGTCTGAACAGAAGTCTATTCACAAAATTGGGAATTCTGGTCTTGAAAAGCATTATTTGCATTTCATTAGATAATTCGGCATACAGTTAGTGAGTGTCTCCTGTTTTGTTTGTCTGTAATAACCAAGTTGATGTTTTCCTCTCTCTTTGGTCTTCCGATATGCAGTGCTATTATTTAAAATAGTATAAGCCAACCTTGAGAGGCAGAATGTTTACAATTCAAATCAGCACCCCAGGGTTTCCCACAGTTCTGCATTTTCTACACTAGGAGGTGAGATAATTTGCATCACAGTTATGGTAACCATATCCCTGTACCCAATTTGTAGTTTTCAACCTTCAAGGTATGTGATACTTCTGAAGAATCTTCAAGTGTAGCAACCTGGAGACTTACAGAAAAAGGTTTAGGTCCTCAGGGGACTTCTGTCATCATGTTAATTTCTTACTATCCTGGACCACAGGGCATGGTCTAGAGATAAAATACATGAGCAGTGGGAGAGAAGGGTGTCCAGGTTTATCAAACGAGATGAATAATCACATCTCTGCCCAGAAATATGAAAGAGAATCTTATCAAAGTGATGGTCTAGAAGGGCATGGCAAGGAAGGGGAGAAGAGATGTTCAACCTTGAGGACTGTGCTTTAGACAAAACTGGTTAAAAAAAAACCCCAAAAGCTCACAAGTTCTTATATCCCAATGTTGCCTGCATTAAAATGGCGAGGATATCATATCACTTTTTTTCATTCTTTACCTTTCACTTTCCTGAAATATTGCACCCCCTGGGGAAGTCCTTGACAAGTGATAAAATGAGTGATTATCCTGTGGAGGCAGAAGCTAAGCTGTCTTCAAGCGGTGGACAGACCTGGCTGCATCTAGGGAATAGTTTGACCACAGTATTTTGAACAATCAGAGAAAAAGCTGGCTCAGAAACAATCTCTTGATTTCAACTCTGAAAAATTTTTATTTTTCTTGTTTTTGCCTGTATGATGTATATGTAAAACTCCTTAAAATTCCTACTGTTTATAGTATTGTGTCTGTTCTACTTGCGTAAAAGCAAGTTAGCAATGAGGACAGAACTTCCATCTTTGGAAACTCAAGTTTGATGAAGTTGCTTCAGTGGAACCTTCGCGTTAGTTGACTTCAGTAGAGATAAGAAAAATGACATTGCATAGTCGAATCCAAGCCATCCGTTTGTTTCCCTACTTCCCCTATGAATACTTTTCTTCCCCCCTCTAAGCAAAAGTCACTAAAAGGCATTAGTAAAACATGGGCTGTTTCAAAAGCATATTTTTTAAATCACAGAATATTTTGTTTTCTTTCTAGTTTGGATTTCATCTTGCATAAATATTTCCCACATTTGTGTAAGTCCTCACTATTATGAGCCAGGAAATGCCTTTGTTCCCAATTACATTTTTTCCTTTGCCCTTTATAGTTTAGAGTTTATGATGGTGTTGCAACACCTTGACGAAAAGAAGAAGAGGTTATTGCTTTATTATCACAGAAGTCTTGCCACTAATTAACTGTTTATTGTGGATGTGAGTAAATAATTGTAAACCAGACTGCGTAAAAATGAACTTTTTATGTTTAATTACTTCCTTATCGGTCATTTGTATTTAAGCTAAAAAGGCTCAAAGTCTCTACCCTATTTCCTCTAGAGTTAATTTATCTCAGTGATTAAAGGCACAGTACAGAAGAAAATGTCAGGTATGATAGATGGAGGGTAATAATGTAATCCATTAGTGTTAACATCTCTATTATTTCAAAAATCCATTAGTTATGCAGGTAAATGGAAAATTGGAAGATTCAGGCCAGGTCCTAAGTTGTGACTACTTTTCTTATGAGTGAGTAATAATCTCATAAGCCTGAGAAGTAGAATTTCATCCATTTAAAACAAATGAACCATGATGAAAGATGTCAACTGTAATGTACTATAATTTAGGTTGAAATTTTAGGTTTTAAACTTTATATCTTTCAATGGGAGGCTATTTTTTGGTAACTGTTATTCAGTGCTGAATCCTAAAATATGCAAATAGCAAAGTAAATCCGAACAATAGAGGAGAAAATAAAATAATGTTCTAGTTTTTATTTAGAACCTCAGTCCGTGGCTCACTGCAGAGCACTCACTGGCCAGACCATTAGACACTAATCTGTTCACTTCCTGTCTATACTTTCACTTTCTTACCTCTCTCTCTCCCTCCCTCTCTCTCTCCCTCCCTCCCTCTCTCTCTCCCTCCCTCC